GAGTTAAGTCACTTGATTTTATAAAAGCAATAGCTTGATGAGTTCATTGTTTTTATTTTTCTTTGTGTGAATTGCAGGTATCATTTTTTCTTCAGATACTTCCAATATGCATGGCTTGGATATACTCTGCGAATTCCTTTTAAAGTTCAGTACTTGAATTTTTTTGATGAGTTAAGTTACTTGATTATATAATAACAACAATAGCTTGATGAGTTAATCATTTTTATTTTTCTTTGTATGAATTACATTTGTCATTTTTCTTGGGATAGTGCCAATATGCGTGGCTTGGATATACTCAGAGTATCTGGAGCACAGAAAAATTCCTCATCGAAATCGTGAGTCGGAAAAACTATCTAGATTTTTTATTACATTTGAAATTGCTGAAGTAATTAAGATAATGTGTGGAACATTATGGGTGAAAATGTTTTTAAGTGATATATTATGTTTGCTTATTGACGCATTTGTTAAAATGGTATGGACTGCAGCTACTCGAGTAACCTATGAGATTATTTACTAATTTTTGTTTTTTTTAGTTATGAGATAGATAGCGATTTTCTTGAATTTAACAAGTTGGTGAAGACGTTGCTTCAAGAGTGGGATACCAGTCTTGAACAAAGGTAAAAGAGTGTCCCAAAAATCTTTCCTGTAGAAAAAAATGATAGAAGTAAAAGCAGGAACAAGTTGACAAAAAACTCTTAAGAGGAAACATAAACAAATTTCCAGAAATAACGTGGGCTATTAGAAAATGCATTCATGGGGTCGATATCAAAGGATAGAATTAGAGTTTGATTTTGATGTAAATTATAAAATTGAACGAAGGCACGGTTCGTGCCTCCGTGCGCAACGTGTATTTTTGAGACATCACGTCCCTATGCTTGTTGTTTTTACACTTTGCCTAATATTTGTTCTGTCATTATTTGCTAAAGTGCAGAGCTTTTCTGTCTTTATTTTACATTTTCTTGTGGCCTTTTGACTGCATACACCTCATTCTGTAATATTGGAAATATTACCCAATTGGAAAATTGGTTGTGAGATTTTGGAGCCTAAATAAAACCACACATCTGGTTTGGTTATTTATTAAGTGGTTCATTGCAATTTGCTCCAGGTTCACCCTGGATAACTATATTGTTACTTGTTTTCCAAGAAGAAAGGATTCTTATAAACTTATTGCGTACTATATTCGATATGATCCAAACTTGGATATACATGGACACTCTTCAATACGTATCATAAACGTGGTTTTTGATTATTTTATATTTTTATATTCTCGATATGCACCAAACACCTTAGAACACGTGAAGAAGAAGAGTTTAATTGGTTTTAAACTCTTTCAAAACTTATTATATTATTGGTAATTGATGACAGTTTTTTTACTTCATAGATAACCATTATCATATCCATATTATTGTGTACATGTTATTAGTTTTAGCCCTCTTTCTACCTTAATGTTGGTTTCCTCGGTTTTGTTATTGGCAGGTTGTTGCATTTGCAACTTTTTCAAATCACCAATCAGCAATGGCAACTCTACATTCATTAAATGTGAGTTATTATTGAAATAGATCTTCAGTTAGTTTTAGCCCTCTTTCTACCTTAATGTTGGTTTCCTCGGTTTTGTGTAAATTGCTAAAGCATATACCTTGTATCTTATTGTCGAATGTGTTGTATCGCTTAATTTATTGTTATGCTATCAGAAATGGTAAAAGGAAGAATCCCTTTCTTGATATTATAAATTCTTCCAGTTATCCAATCATTTATTGCATTTGGCATGCAGGATTGGACAGACTAGACTGTATAAAGTTCAATGTTTTTACTTCTTCGTCTTGTTTAGTATTTTTGGTTACAATCTAATTCTCCTTACCACACATCATTGGTGTTCTGCATCATACAAGGGTAAAATGTTTTAGTAACATTTGTTTATTTCCTCAATCGTCAATTAGTCTTTCTGGAATAACTGTTTTACAGGGTGTTAAATTTGACCTTCAAACTGGATCCACTTTGCACATCGAACTTGCAAGATCAAATTCAAGAAGAAAAAATAAACCAGGTAGGCAGAAGAGTGTCGTTTTAATCAGTGTTACATAATCTGTGCCCTTATGTACCTAAGAAAGATGGCTTATGACCGTTTAATGCTGTTAGCAGGAAGAGGATCGTATGTGGTTATTGATAATATGGCTAAATCTGCAACTGATGATAGGGAATTGTCAGGTGATGATGGTAATCAGTTATATTTGGAAAAAGATTAATGCATGTACATGTACTATTCATTCTTACCATTTGCTATCAGGCCTTCTTTCACATTATATCTCTACTTTCAAACATCTTAGCATCCCCTGCTAGGAGAAGTAGAGTGAAAAGAGGAACAAAGGGAGAGAGGAAATGCCTTTAAATTCAACTGACCAAGTAAAGAAGAGATTGGCTGAATTTTTTATTTTTATGTTTTGTGCTGGTTGATTGCATCAAATTAGTTTTCTGTTTGTTACACGTCTTTTCCCTTAAGCATTGCTAGAGGAAAAGGTATGCCATCTATAGAGGAAAGGGTATGCCATCTTTTCCAGTCGTACATCTTGTCATCACCAGAATCATTTCTGTTATTCCAATCACTACGCCCTCTGCCTCTAAAACCACCCCCTACCACGAAATCCTCCCTCCCTGTCAGGTCCATCTTTCCCTCCAAAGCCTCCCCTGCCCATTCCTCTAACTCCATAGCCACCACGATCTGATCTCCCTCTACCCCGGAAGCCACCGCGGTCACCTCTCCCCTCCCTACCTCCCCTCCAACTTCCATTTCTTCCCCTACTGCCAGTACCAGTATCATTTTGACCGTCATTCCCTCCAACATCATTTCCTGAATTCCAATTGCTTTTGCTAACAAAGATCAGATAGGATTCAGATAATATTTGAAGTTCAATTATTTATTTTTATGTTATTTTTTTATTGGACTTGTCTTTTTTAACTACTTGCTTTCTTCTGATATTGAAAGAGAATTGTTAATGTATGCAGCAATGCCAATAACTACCCTCCAGGTGACACTGCTACTTTGTCAGAGAATAATCTCAAGGTAACTTTCAGCGCTTAAGTACGGTAGTTGTTATTGTCAAAATTGTCACCATATCACACTAAATGTACTGATTTCAACATGGGTATTGATGAATAAACAACCAGTGCATTTTTTGCTGTGTCTTGGTTGAATTAGATAATATTCTTTACAACAAACTTATGGTAACCCATGTGATTATCCTCTTCATCCTTTATTTTTTAACTACTTGCTTTCTTCTGATATTGAAAGAGATTTGTTAATATATGCAGCAATGCCAATAACTACCCTCCAAGTGACACTGCTATTTTGTTAGAGAATAATCTCAAGGTAACTTTCAGATCTTAAGTACGGTAGTTGTTATAGTAAAAATTGTCACCATATCACACTAAATGTACTGATTTCAACATGGGTATTGATGAATAAACAACCAGTGCATTTTTTGCTGTGTCTTGGTTGAATTAGATAATATTCTTTACAACAAACTTATGGTAACTCATGTGATTATCCTCTTCATCCTTTGGTAATATAAATCAAAATTCAACTACATGCTCTACTTTTGGCCTTATAGCCTTCTGTAAATGGACAAATTTATAGTAAGAAAAATTCTATTTAATTTTGTGACTTCTATGAAAGATCTCTTCCATGCTTTTACTGTTGTTGAAAGAAGAATTCAACTCTTTAAAATATAGTTTCTGGTAAATAAGCATATCAGCCCGCGATGATCAAGAGGTAGATAGTATTAATATACACAAGTAGTCTTGAGTGTCTTTTTCGGAGAATGAGTTGCATCAATTTGCAATCATTTTTCTAATATCATAACATACATACATTATAACATTCCATTGTAAGAGAGATTAACTGACAAAAGAATCAATTCATACAATTATAGTGAAAAAAATACCTTAAGATCACTCCACGCTATTAAATACTCAATTAAACTGCAGCACGTGCATCGCACGTGCGAACACTAGTAATAATAATATTGACATAAATGCAAATAGTAAATAAACGGAGCCATTTGACAGGGAAATAAAACAAATTTGACAGGGAAATAAAACAAATTTGACAGGAGGAAATGTGTCAGACTAATAATAAAATTGAAAAGTGAAAAATATCCGACCTGCCGGATTCGAACCAGCGACCTAAGGATTACCGTGACAACACTACAGTCCTCCGCTCTACCAACTGAGCTAAGGTCGGTTTGTTGCTTTTCAGTGGATTTCAATTTACATGTTGAGGTTTCTATGTAATATAGCAAAACATATGATTGTTAAATTTATCGCATGAAAGTTGATCTCAATCTAACAAAGCCTGTTTGCATGGATTAAAACCTGATTTTAATCATAAGTTAAAGGTAACAATTAATTCTAAATACATATTATATAATTCACAACTTTTTAACTACATATTTAATCAACTTTTATAAAAAAAATTACTAAAATTTTGATTTTAATTTACATCAAACATGGTCAGAAACATATTTTAAGGGACTAAATAGGTGAAAGATTTGAAACTCGAAGTTTTCAAATTTTAAGCATTTTAGTAAAGCAGACGATGAAATATTGAATAATAGCGAAGAAACGTAGATAAAATATCTTTTATTTTATTAAAAACTTTACTTACTACTATATATTATATATGAAGAATTAGTCGGGATTGAATAAGATATTAAGTTCATATTTGGTGTAGACTAAAATTATATTAAAATTTTAAGTCAAAGTCAACATTTAATTTTAATCACATTTTTACGAGATTCACAATTTTTCAATTACATATTTTATCATCTTTTATTAAAATCAAATAAAATTTTGATTTTTACCTACACCAAAGGATCATATTATGTCCCTGTTTGACACTCATTTTCTTTCTCATTTTTCATTTCAACCACACTTTCTATTAATAAAATAATATTACACATAAATCCAAAAATTTTCATTACTTTTTAACCACACATTCTTCCATCAATCACTATTCCAAAATTTATTTTTTCTCTAAAATGGGTGTCAAATACATCCATATGTACATAGAGGTTGACACAATAATTTACACCCATGTGAGTTGGCAGGATTCGTTACATTGATCTTAATGACACCTTTTTTAATCAATCATCAAATTTTTGACAGACGGTACCAATCAAAATGTACACTTTATAATCCCAAAAAATTCAGCACGACGTGAACATTTGTTCCTTTTCTACCTCTTCGGATTCCGCCTTACGACAACTTGCATTGATCCCTCAATGACCTAACTACCCTCAACGTACAACCCACGTTTGCAGTTTCCGGGGTCAGTAAAGGGCATTACAGGAATCACACGACAAAACAAGAAGAAGTTTATCCTTAAAAAATTAAAAGGCCCACAGCCACGTCAGCATGAAAAGAGACAAAAAATGACAGATATATATATGGATGGAAAACAGTGGAAAGTGAAAACAAGTTGCTACCTACCAAAAATCAAGAAAATCTGAAAATGACATTCAATATTCTTTGCTCTATATATACCCCCCTTTCACTTGCAAAAAAATTCTCTCTTCTCCTCGTTCACTTGGATTTCTTTCGTAGAGAAGCCCATAAAAGGTATCACTGTTCTTTCCTCTCTTTTTTTTTTTTTTTGCTTTATTTTGTTTTTTTTTTTTTTTAGTTTTTCTTTTGGTTTTCTCGGTTACTTATGGGGACAGAGTGTTGCTAATTGTGGAAAAAAATGGTGGGTTTTCTTGGGTTTTGGTTTTAGACGAGATTTTATATATGTCATTCTGATGTTTCAATAGGGTGCTCTGTAGAAGGGTAGTTCATTTATGCAAGTGGTTAAAATTTGAAGACTTTGAATGCCTGTTTTCATAGCAAATGTCTTTTGACCTGGTGATTCACAAAGGGTAAAGATTGGATTTTTGGGTCATGAATTGTTGCCAATGTCCAATGATTTTTATTTTTTATTCTTTCTCTTGAATGAGGAACTAGTGAAAACATTGGAGCAATTTGAAGAATATAATCTAATCCGTGTAGCTCGTAAAGAGCAGCAAACTAAGCATTATCTTTATTAATATTCCGTTATCAATCCAATCTTTACAACCAAACATGCTATGTTAGTTTGAGATGCATTTTCATCTTCGCATGTGTCATATTGGGAAACTGATCAGTGATAGGAATTTAACTACTCTCGTGTAATCAGAGGCTTACACTTTGTTTTAGGGTGGATTCAAATGAGAGAATTAAAAATTTACAGGAACTATTTAGCTCAGGATTCAAGATTCTTGAATCAATGAAGCCAATAATAACTGGGAAATGAGAAGAATTAGGACTAAATTCTGGAGTCTAGCAGTTCCATTGGTGCAATAATGGAACTGCTAGAGTTTCATCTCTTCTCACCTATTGGTTCCTGGAATTCATTTTGTTTAACCGGAGGCACAAAATTTAAGAGCTCAAATCTGTCGAGTACTTAACTGATCAACGGTCATTTCTCTTAACAATTGTTGGGTTCTAATAAGTTGCTGAATCCTGCAATACAAACAGCTATTTTAATTTATTGTCCCTTTGTTGGTGGTACGGCGTCCCACACCTTAATTTATCAATGCCCCCAAGCACGAAGCAGATCAGGTCTGACAGAGAGAGAGCATCTCATGAAAAACTTGTTTCTGATATGCTATTAATTTAATTGGTGTTTTATATTGTTATGAGAAAAATAATTGGTGTATTACATGGCATCATAGCCCAGTTATTTAGAATTGTCGTAGTTAGTTGTATATATTTTGTTAAAGCTTTCCCGTTTCTTTATGCTGGTGTTAACTTATATATCTGTTATTTTTGGGTCTGTTTCTGCAATTTGCAACAGTACGTGGCATTTACATTTTTATCACCAAGGGGGATGATTTTTCAGTCTAGACCCGATGGAACGCAATGGTGGAACTTCCGGCTACAATGAGAAGAGAACTTCGGAGAATTCTACTCCTAACGAATTGAAAAAGCCTACAGAAAATAACACCAACAATTCTGTATTTGTCAATCATGGTAAGTTTTGCTTATAAGTTCTAGCCTTCTAAAGGGTAGAAACTAACCGTGTCTAATTATTAGACATATGACATGTATTCAGAAAGTTTTTTTTGTTTCTCGTGCCTATAATAAAAACAAGTTCAGTACAATAGTTTTCTGCCGTCAAGAATTACCTCAAGTTCAGTCAAAATCAAATCTTTGGCAACCACACTACATCATGTTAACTTTTGTGGATAAATCTTATTGACCTTATGTTTGGAAAACTAATAATCGAGAAAAGGTGCACGAGATTCTATAATATGTCTATGTGATGCAGCTGCTATTGCATGGCAAGAGAGCAGAAGAAAATGGATTGGAGACATATCTCAGAGGTCAGAAAGGATGCCAAAGGATCCAATTATAAGGTACTGTATGTACTCACCTATTGTCTATCTTGAATGTCGATTGCCATACTGGAAAACGTAAATTATGATCAAGACAACTGCTAGGTAGTCGTTAGAAACATTTCCACATTCAACTTCTTGTAGTTTATATTACTAACCATTGAAACTGACTGTTATTTGCTATTGTAATTTGCAGCTGGTCAATGACCTACGAAGATGTACTCTCAACTAATGAAGCTTTCAAAGAGCCAATCCCTTTACCTGTAAGTTATCTGGATACAAATACCACGTACAGAACCAACTCAACACTTTTTGTGTATACCAAAACCATAATTTATGACCAACTTTCAGTGCCCTTTTAAGTTAGTTTTTATGCCAGCATAAAAGATGAATTCTTGTGTTCGACCTATGAAATTATTGATTTCTTGACTTGTGCATTGATTGGATGTGTGTATGAATTTCACAGGAGATGGTGGACTTTTTGGTCGACATCTGGCAAGATGAGGGTCTTTTCGACTAGATAATCGTATTGTAGTTGTATTCTGGATCTTTCTTTTCGGCAGCAATATGGATATATTTCAAGCCATAACATTTGACTATTACAGGCACAGCATCCTGCCAACATTCAGTTTTCCAGTTTTGCCATTTACGAGTTTTAGCAAAAGCATCTCTCTGGGATCAAATCGATTGGTTGAAAAGGCCTTAGAATTTCTATTTGTAATCTTATAGTTGATGGTGCAACTTCTTAGAATATCGAGGAATTACTACTAGATTATATGTTCTGTATCGTATTTTCACATTCATAAACCAAATTGTTGCCGGTCTATCATTTCGACACATTTTTGAATTTCGTTACAGGGTTTATGGCCTAGGTTGGAAATGAATGCATGAGTTAGATGATCAATTCATAGAATACACTTTTTTCAAATAGAAATTCCATGATGTGAAAAGATAATTTGGTAACATTAATTATATTGCTACAGTAAATTTGGTAACAATTCTTCCTATAATCTCGAAATTTTTGTATAGTTACTTACAATTTCCCAATTTCGAAATTGTAGTTGCATGTTCCAAATGACCTTTTAATCAATCCACCTTCTTGAAATAATCCGATATGTTGAAATTTAACGGTTGAAACAGCTGCTGACGTTCCCATCTGGCACGATCACTTCTATACAAATGTGGATATCTGTTAATGCTCCAGAAACATTTAGTACATCTCGATCTCACCGTGTATGCCCAGAAGAATCCATGACTTCTTGGGTTTATATATAGATAACACCACCGCATTGGAAAGGCAACTTGTGGAAAATTGAATCTGTAGGTGGTGTTTTCAGGCAGTTCGTAAAGAGAATTATCCTTGTCTGTGTATTTGCACATGAAGTAAATTGGATGGTTTCCATCATTGGCTAATGTGACCTCCACATCTGGGAATAATTCAAATTTGCATTTTGCAGGAATGAAAGAAACAGTGAGGATTAGCAAGAGAAATGTGGAATTTGTGTAGGTTTTCTCTGCCATGGAACCAACCATGGCAAAGATTTGGTGGCAGGTTGCTAATGAAGATTGAGGTTGGATTTTTGTCTTATTTTGGGATTAACTGTAAGGATTGGTACAGCCATATTTTGCGGTCAAGGAATAGTTTTAAACCAAACAAAGTGAGAAAATTGAGAGAGAACAAAATAAAAGCTCTCGACATTTTATTTTATTTTTTGTTTATTATAGCGAAAATAAGTTAAATTTTAATGTTGGTGATAATACATCTTCAGCTTATTTGAGAATTGGGGGCTATCGAGATTGAATTCAAGTTATGTTAACGTGTAATATGACAATTGATCTCGGTTAAAAAGGGTTCTTGTGATATGTAATTGACATATAATTGTGTAAATAGCTCGAGTTAATTATTTTTGTTTTATTCATGCATGAAAAAACAAACAAAATATTTTTTACAACTATATGCACAAGGGTAAAATCGATATTATTTAAAAGCCAACTGTTGTTTTCTAACAAAGTTTTGTCGGGTGTCCCTTGTTTTTTGGTTGTGATTTTGAGTAGCTTGTGAGTAAGGATGGATGTTTTGGAGTACTTTCAATCGGAAAAAAAATGTATATCCTTTCAATTTTTGGGATGACCGACTTGGATGCCAAAACATTAATGCTCCCCACAAATGCTAATGGACTCGACACTCTTCTTCGAAAATACAACGATCAACTTCTTATGATAACAGCACTACAAATCTCGAGAACAACAAACTTACTAATGTTTTGTAACTCTCTTTTATTATTAAAAAATGGACTCATAAAAAATGTAGAAAATATTATGGAATGAAAATTAGAAGTTTATAATGAATGGAATAATTGAATAGATATTGAAAAATTGTATCTTGAAAAGATACTATTTCTTAAAAGGGATATACCTATTACATCACGCCTAAGCGAGAGACGTGCTTGATAGAATAGGACACATCCAAAAGCAATGATAAAAATTCACGACTTTTTAGTTAAACATTCTAGAATATTCCGTCAAATGTCATACCTAATGGTGTATTTGCGCATTTATTTTTCATGAAAAATGTCAGTTTTCTATCCAAATTTATACTTTTAAGTGTGATTGTTATTTTTTCTATGAAAAATATTTTCCAACTTTTAAAAATGTCTAATTTTCCTCTTTGTTTTTTTAAGGAAAATATTTTCTTTTCTAAGGTATATTTTCCATAACAATCAAACACACTCCAAGAGTTTGCAATATTTATAGGGACATTTTTGTCCAAAAATATTTCTTCCATTAAATGCTTTTGTGTGAGTCATTTAAAACCATTTTCGCCTCAAAATTCATTTCAAACACATTTTATAAAGCCATATTTTCCCTACTTTTTAACCTCGTTCTTTAAAAAAAAAAAAAATCATTTTGCACTTGTAAAAGCTCTCCGAAACATACTAATATTTCGTATTCAACTGATTCATAGGAATTGCAGAGTTTCCTATACAAAAACTGCAGAAGAAAATACATCGATCAATCAGCAATGTCACTTCACATTATAAATAAACGATCAACCACTAAAATACACTTTTAGGTAAAAATTAAACACCTCCTCCTATTCCAGGAAGATAAACAACGTCAAAAAATAAAAGAAAAATACGTTTCTACGGCTTTTTACACAAGTACCCCACTACATGGATGAATGCCGTCAGCACATACGAAATTTGCATATCACGAAATCAACTCGATGGCAACTGAAACATCTCCGACAGAATGTCATCCAATAACGTCTTCAGCTCGCTGGAGAAGCTCCAAAACATTTCCGGCTTTTCTTTTGGCCCTATCGGTACCATTCTCTGACAATTCCTTCAATGCCTCTTCTGCTCCAAGCTCACTGGCAACTTTCAAGTATTGTGAATCACCAGTGCAAAGTGACCATAATACCGCTGCAGCATTTTCCCGGTTGCGTGGCGAACCTGTCTTAATCACCTCAATCAAAATAGTGATTGGCTCAGCTTGCCCAATTGCTACTTTCCCTTCTTGATGGCTAGCAAGAATAGCCAATATTGCTAGAGCTTCGTCCACCATTCCTCCTCCGGGATCCTTGAGCNGGATCCTTGAGCAATCTCATAAGTGGTGGTACAATTCTCGCCCTTACGGCCCTCACCTTGTTTCCTTGATAGATTAAAAGGTTAAATATAGCAGTGGCCGCATCCTTCTTTCCTCTTGGAGTCCCATGACAGAGCAAATCAATCAGAGGTGGGATGGCTCCAGCTGCCCCTATTGCCACCTTGTTCTCGTCTAGAACCGATAAGCTAAAAAGGGTTGCTGCTGCATTTTCTCTAGCCTCCATGCTACCGTTTTTTAGCACGTCCACTATATCAGGTATTGCACCAGCATTTACAATAGTTCCCTTGTTGGCCTCATTTATAGAGAGGTTAAGAAGTGCTGTAACAGCATGCTCCTGAGTCCTCGGATCAGGAGAGGATAATAGTTCGACTAGCAGTGGAATAGCTCCCGATTCAGCAATACATACTCTATTATCGGCATTTCTTTTTGCAAGCAAACGAAGCTCGCCCGCAGCAGCTCTTTGCTGTTCAATATTACCATTTGCAAGTTTCTGCAACAATGCATCAATAGCAGCTCGATCACAGTCTGAACCACCAATTCCCGATCTTTTATTGCGACAATTTCCTTGTTTCTTAGGCAGCTCAACACCATTACTCTCACACCACAAAGCAATAAGACTCTTTAAAACATAATTCGGTGTTAAGGCTGTGTGCAATAGCGTCTGCTGAGTCTTAGGACAAGTCTTGTGACCTGCATGCAGCCATTTCTCAATGCAGGAACGTTCGTATGTCTGCAAAAGAAAACAGTAACTGAATAAAAGTCCTGAACTAAAGAAAGCACTACATCATAGATGTAACCTGGAATTTAACCTGTCCAGTAGACACAATTACAGGATCTTTCATCAACTCAAGAGATATTGGACAGCGGAAATCATCTGGGATGACCGGAGATCTGTGCTTCAATGAACTCTTGTCAACTTCATGGGCATCAGGGACTGGATTTTCTGCCATCACACAGTCCTTTATCTTCCGAAGGAGAAAGGACATCGTCTCTAAGTACTCCTCCGATACTCCAGCTGGAAATCCACTGCACGAGATAACCATGTCGTGGATGGCAAGTGACTCTTTCTTTAGATCATTTATAGTCCTGAGATGCAGTTTCTCAGAAAGCCTTCTGAAAATTATTGGATCGGGGTCATCTTCCATTTGTGCTGCAGCTAAATCCATTGCCAGTTGCAAATCAAGAGACTCCATTTTACCTACTGCTCTTTTGAATTGTGTGTGCACAAGTCCAATCTGGAAATGGAAGAATATCATTGTCAATAACTAAAAAAATAAAAAGGTTAGCACATAACCATTATCACATCCCGTCTTCTGTTAAAATGAGGAGTACCTGTTCTCGAACTTCCTCTGGTATATCAAGTTTATCATATGGAATCTGACATAATGCTTCTTCTATTTGTTCAGTGACAAGATCAAACTTGCGTGTTAATTTGTCCACTTGCAGTGCCTGCAAAACACCAGGCACACCATAATAAAAAAACTTGAGCACAACAGATACCATTAAAAGGTTTTGTAGAGATAGCAGATTATATGAGTTGTATCGCAAAAATAAATAAATGTAAAACTGTTAAAAGAAAGTTTAAAGTAGATAGCAAAAATAATACATTTTGGTGAAAATTGCATTCAATACCATTAATAATTAGAACTTCATGGAGTTTAATATTGTAATAAATGGACATGGAAATAAGTACTTCATGTGATACATTGATATTTCTAGTACTAGAATGTGTGTCCTAAACTTCAAAGGTGATAAATGAAAATTAAACATAATTCAGTAAAGAATTATTCAGCGTGTGTATACATAAACAGAGGAAATACCAATAATCCGACGACACAAAATGTTCATCCCTACATCCAACAAAGCAGACATGTTGGGATAACAACTATGGCAGGAACCTTAATTTACAATACTAAAATGTTCATTACTGGAGCTATTTTATTCTCGTAAGATCAATCTTTTAATCATTATGCCATGATGAAGACGTGTCTATAGTAATGATCAATAAAAGAGTTACAGTTCAATCTGTTTAAACGGTCATCTGTTATGATCAATACATTCATATTCTAGTAATAATTGGCAATTTAATTATGTCCACGGTTCTTCATTAAGTGATGACGAATAGAAAATTCCTAAATACCAACACAGATGCTCACAAATGGAGAAGAAGAACATGATAAGGTTATTATTATTCCCCAAATTACATCTATTCTTATGCATATACCTGAAAAATCTTACTTCCTTCATGGACCGACTTCAGCACCTCAAGAGCGGAGTCAAGAGCGATCCTCAGCGAGTCAAGCCCCATAACGACGTCGCTTCCAAGCTCTTCTTCTTCACCGTCCCTCAATTCATCAAACAGAGGGCTTAAAAGCTTCACCCTTCTCACCAGATTACAATACATCTTTTTTGCAACCGTTTTGCAGTCGGGCAATCCGGATATTGCCTTGACCGAGTCACTTATTTGACTCAGCACCACCTCTCTCGAATTATCCGTCATCTGCAATTCCAAAAAAGCAAAGTTTTAGAGGAATTCCACAGAAGCCCAGAAAACTAAAACAGAAACTTCGATGAATTTTTACAATGGTCTGTGATTGTAAATTGAGTTGACTCGGCGATTTGAATTTCTTTTTCCGAAATTGGCTGAGATAGCCTAAGAACAACGAAATTTCGAGTTTTTGTGGGAAACTAGAGGAACCCAAATAAGGAAGTCGATTGCATTTCAAGAATTGAAATATATAACTGGCGATCCGTGTAAACAGAGGTTGAAGAACGTCAGGTTAGAACAAAGGTTTACAGCCAGGGATATGAATTATTGGGTTTTCATTTTATTTTTGCCTTGTTGAATTTGATTTGAAATAAGAAATGAGGTTTATTGTGTGGACGAATGATGATATCGTGTTTTTTCGTGATTAGAGGCCGAAGCGAAACTTTACGAACTATCTAAGCGAGGCTTAGACGCAAAAGAAAAGTTTTCCAACTTAATATTATTTTAAACTTTTAATCATTTAATAATAAAAATAACACATATCATATATCTAAAATTATAAAATATTATGTTTACTTATAATTCTTACCATTAGTCAATTAGACAAATTTCAAGTTTTTGAAATGCAAAAATTAAAATATTTTTCATAATTTCAATTTTCAACTAGACAAGTCATACTTGATACATTTATAGAAATTTCATATGCATTTTTTACGTTTGCTAATAATGAGTTGCATGATTATAATTACATAATTTAGATAATACAATAACTTAAATCTTATTTATTTAGATAAAATTATTTTTAATTTTTGTACAAATAAAATCTTTTAAAACTTTGAAATTAAAGTTAAAATAAAAAGTTGTCTTTTTAAAACAAAAATTATTAATCGAAAGTCAAATAAAAGAATTTTTTTTTAAAAAAATAATAATAATAAAGCACTTCTAGAAAAGACGAAAGAGAATAAGGAAAAAATACAACCATTTAAAAATTGGAAAATAAAAAGGTCTAAGCGTGAAACTAGACATTTTGCTTAAATTTAGAGTCTAAACGTTGTCTAGACAAATTTTTTAGAATAGTGGATGATATTGATTAACAATAAATAAATAAATGAGATTTCATTTTAATGTTTCAACTTTGAAGAAGAAAAAGTAAAGGGTTTTGCTAGAGCGTAAGCCTGTCACTTCAGGGGGCCACATGCACCCCTGGACGAATAGCAAAACCCAAAAGTAAGAATTGCAGGAAAAGGAAGAAGGATGGAGAAGGAGAGGAGGAAAGGGACTATTGAAGAAGACGAGATCACTTATGACAAATTAATAATAAGAGTTGACGATTTTACCCCTAATCACTCAATCATCCTCAATTCTTCGTCCCGATTTTGCTCAAGGATAAGTCATCGAACAACCTCTTAACTATTTTCAGATCAAATATGTTACAGGTCTATGTCAGACTCTCCACCTCGACCGCCACGTGTCAGCATATGTGGCCAATCCACGGATCGGTCGAGGCGATTACGCATGGAACGATCTAACTGTACCCGCCGAAGTGATTGCCACTTGGAACGAACTGAATATGCGTCAACGAATGAACCGGACTCATCCACAAGTACATAGTGGATGCAAAGGCCCGCACTCCGCTTCTACAACGCTGCAACGCTTCACCTGCCACACCTCGCCTCTACAAAAGTAGATGCAAAGGCCCGTACTCCGCTTCCACAACGCTGCAACACCCCACCTGCCTCGCCTCGTCGTCAAAGATCTCTTGTACAAAGATCTTTCTAGAGTCAAATCTCTGGCTGATGGGACGTGTGGCAGGTCCCCAAACGGTTAATTGAGCTACTATGTTAGAGATCATTCAATACCAGCCAACATATGGATGGATTGATTGACACCTAGGATGGGACGAGTTTCGGAGATCTAGCAACACGTGTCTTCTCATCCAACGGCCCTCCCCTTCCATTCCTTGGTATAAATGCCCCCCCTTATGCCTAAAGACGGGATGAGAATTTCTTGGGGATTTAATACACTACTACGCCAAACACTTAGAGTATCATCTTCTCCCCTATATTGTTGGCACTTTATTATTGTATGTTCAATCACTTCCCGGCGAGTGTTCTACTGTCGCGAACCTCTTTTGATTGGATTTCAGACTGACTTGATCGTCGGAGTGCTTGCGGCCGCTCCCAACACCTCCAAGAAAGGCCATGAGCGACTAACGGCGGCCACATGTCCAGGGAGGAATTGACTAGAAGACCTTCTTCTGTTGGCCACGTGTCGGAGCCATTTTTCGAGGTCAACAGATTGGCGCTGTCTATGGAAACATACTTATCCACGAGTTTTCCTACCAAAAGTTGCTTGAACATTCGGTTGATATTCCCCCTTTGAGAAAGGGACTAATTCTTGGAAAAGGGATCCTTCAGCCACTTCGGGACATGAGTTCCAGCAACGAAGAGGCAAATGCAGGGGTAAGGGATGTCTCTGAAGAAGAGATTATCCGTACCAATGTCAATCAACAATGGCCTCACCACCGTTACCTCCGGGGTGGGAGAACTGCAACACATTTAAAGGCCGAAGTGGCCCAAATGGTTGCTAACATGAAAGCCATTGCGACTCAGAATGTGGCCATGCAAGAGCTTCTTAGGCAAGTGCAAAGTCAGGGCGGTTTTCAAGCCCCACAATATCCCCAACAATCTGCCCATAGACACGTCGAGGCAGAATCCAGCAGGAGAACTCACCTGAGTCCTCAGGGGGAAGCTCCTATTGAAAGAAAAGTGGGGATGGACACTTCTAACTATACCGCCGCCCCAGTTAACGCCTCAGCAGGGGAATACAAATTTCCCCCCGAGTACGAGGAACGACCTCAGAGATCTGTTAGCGTTTTCAATCGGATCGGACGGGCACCTAAAAATAAGGATCAGCCCGCCAAACCGCTCCTCGACAAAGGCGAGAACAAAGCCATGAAATCCAGGACCCCCCGCCTAGAAATAGGCGGGAGGGGTGAAGTCAAGTGGACTGGGAAAACAGAGCTGAAACATGTCAATGTCCACCCCGTCCAGTAGCAGATGGGAACGAATCAGACGAACCCTGTAGGTCATACGAACTGGACGAAGATGATGAAAACTTGCCCTTTTCCAGGGAGTTTCGCACTTTTCCAATGCCTCAAAACTTTGTCCCTCCAAAAATCCCCAAATACAAAGGAAAAAGTGATCCAGAAAAGCACCTCAACAAGTACAAAACACAGATGAGCCTCCGTGGCGCCTCACCAGCTTTGAAGTGCAGAGCTTTTCACCTAATCCTTGGTGGAGTTGCTGAAGTGTGGTACAGTAGACTGGCGCCACTTAGCATACGAAGCTGGGCCAACCTGAAAAAGCATTCTTAAACCAATACCTCTCAAGGAAGGAGGGAGAGGCTCCGATTCAACGCTTGCAAGACATGAGACAAGCGGCAGGCGAGATCCTGAAAAACTACCTTGCCCGCTTCACCGATGAGATAACTTACTGTGAGCAGGTCACGGACAAGGAGGCCCTATCAGCTCTGAAAGGAGACTTGAACATGAACACTTTATTCTGGAGAGACGTCCGAAGCAAGAATCCTTCAACGTTTGATGAATTAGTGAAGATGATGAAAGTTGAAATCGTCTATGAAGAAATGATTGACCACAAGAACAGAGCCGCCCTGGGGCTCCCACCACCTCAAAGGTAGATATGCAGAGGACCCACATCTCAAATAGTAAGTTAGCAGTGGACTCAGGCTGGGCACACTGTGGCCCCCACTTCAGGACAGGCACTGGCCACAACCATTTTGAAGGCGATCCCCACCTTGGCTTACGAAAACGCTGGGCCAAGTACAAGTAATCCTGCCAGAAAGATTGGACGACCCTCAACCTCTAGAAATAGGGAAAGGGGAGGAAGGCCTAAAGACAGGCCCCCAGAAGTACGACCCTACTACACCGTCCATTGCCACTATGGCCATGACACCAACGATTGTATGGGGTTAGGAAAACCGGCAAGTAATCCCCGTAATAGTAGGAATCACTACTACGAAGACAGCAATCCGATGCTTAGCCCCCCAGAAGGGGTGAGACGAGGCGACGAAGATAGCACATCCTTCATCACGGATAGAGGGCTTTACTGTTACAAGGTGATGCCTTTCGGCCTGAAAAACGCTGGAGCAACCTACCAAAAGCTGGTCAACAAAATGTTCGCCTATCAGCTTAGCAAAATAATGGAAGTGTATGTTGACGACATGCTTGTAAAAAGCCTCGTGGCTAAGGAATATATCAAGCACTTAGCCGAAGCCTTCAATACCTTGAGAAGAGGTAACATGAGGCTGAACCCCCTGAAGTGTGCTTTCGGTGTAGCTTTGGGTAAATTCTTGGGCTACATCGTAAATCAGAGAGGGATAGAGGCTAACCAGAGAAAATCAGGGCTTTGATAGAAATGAGATCTCCTCAGAAGCCCAAGAAAGTACAATGCTTACTGGTAGAATAGCCGCACTCAATCGCTTCATCTTAAGGGCCACTGATAAGTACTTGCCCTTCTTTAAAGTCCTCAAGAGAGGCAAGAAGTTCCAATGGACCTCAGAGTGCGAAGAAGCGTTCCAGGAGTTGAAAAACTAATTCGGACGAACACGCCTCCTTAGCAAACCAAGGGAAGGAGAATCCTTATTGCTATACTTGGCCATGGCCGAGGGTTCAATCAGTTTAGTGCTTGTCGAGAAGAAGAAACACACCAACTGCTGATCTACTCTGTAAGCAGAGCCCTACTCCCTGCCGAAGCCCCGATACCCAGATATGGAGAAATTGGCTCTTTCTTTGGTCACCGCTTCCCGAAAACTGAGGCCGTATTTCGAAGCCCATAGCATTCGCGTCCTAACAAACTTTCCGCTGAGGCAGGTCTTGCAGAAGCTAGACGCCTCAGAAAGGTTACTAAAATGGGCCATTGAGCTTAGCGAATTCAACATAACTTACGCGATCCGGACAGCCATCAAGGGTCAAGCCCTAGCTGACTTCGTCGTTGAATTCACCAAAACCCCTGAAATCGAAGTAAATATGGGACCAGTAGAGCCCCCCACCTGGAATCTCTTTGTCGACGACTCATCCGGAGAAACAGGTTCTGAAGCTGGTATTGTGCTAGAAAGCTTAGAGGGGCACAAACTCAACTGCGCCG